GGCCGCCCCCCCGCAGCGCGGCCGGCACCGTGGGCCCCGGCGCTGCCGCGTCCCCAGGAGCAGCACTGGCACCGAGGCAAGGCTCTGCCCCCAGAGGGGTCGCGGCCGGCGCTGCCGCGTCCCCAGGAGCAGCACTGGCACCGAGGCAAGGCTCTGCCCCCAGAGGGGTCGCGGCCGAGCCCTCAGCTGGCTGGGCGGAGCCCTGCACGACCCAGGGAGCAGACTCCAGACCCCCGAGTGCGGGCGGGGAGGCGCTCACCTTCAGCGAGGCCGTCCCCATCCAGATGGAGCCAGTGTCGGTCAGCAGGGCCAGGTAGCGGTAGTTGAAGGACACGGCCATCTGCACGTACGCGCCAGCATGGGGGCTCATTCCTGGGGGAGTCTGCAGCCCAGGGAGAAGGAGACAGAGGGGTGAGGGGACAGACGGACCCAGGGCAGCACAGCACAGCAGGCTGGGGAGCCGGGTGACCAACGCAGCCCTCGGGCCTGGGAACGGGCAGTGCCCCGTCATGGTCGTGAGGGACGGCCACCCGCCTGGGGACTAAGGGGTTAACTGGACCTAGCCAGGTAGATTCAGCCAATAGAAATGCAGGTAGGAATTTCAAACTGGGACAAAGGAATTTTGGGGTTTCCCTCCTTTGTCCCCAGCAATTGACTCTCAGATTCTGGGAGAGCCCTGTTGTCTGTCCCCCGCAGTAAAGACCCTTCACCATCTGTCAGCAGGGTAAAGAGGAGATCAGTCCCATGTCTGTGCGCGGAAACCGGGTTTCCTCTCCTTCGTAACTCAGCGTTTGGCCCGTGGGCGTCCCCGGGAGCGTAGGCCTTTCCATCCAGCCGGAGCGCTTGTACCGGGTATCGTGGGGATAATAAAAGCTCTTTCTCTGTTACCCTGGGATTGGTTCCTGTGGGCTGAGATTTCCCATGCGCTCTCCCTGGTTCTCCTACCAGTACTCGGGAGGTGGCAGCGCATGTTCATCCCCAAGATCTAGGGTTGTAAGATTTGGGGGGAAGCTTTATACCAAAGCCTGGAAAGAGAAGACTTTGGGGTTGCTTTTGTGGGCCCCACACTCTGGCATTCGTCGTGCCCGCTGCAGCCTGTGACACGAGGGCAGAGCCAGCGGCCCTCAGGCTCCAGGGCCACAGAGCTGCCCACTCACCACCACGGAGCAGGACGTGCTGTCCAGGAGGTACAGGTCCTGGCCGACCGCTAGCAAGATGAGGGTGACTCTGTCCTGGGACAGGACGGCCCAGCAGGAGGGCAGCTTCTGCAGACCTGCCGGGGAGCAGACATGGGGGTCAGGCCCACGCCCAGGCCCAGGCAGGAAGGAGGGGCGGGGGGAGGACGTACCTGGCACCTCCGGCATCCTGCGCAGCTTGAGGTCGTCGATGTTGGTGGTGAGGGAGAAGCGGTGCGCCCCGGTGAGGATGGCCACGCCCGTCCCGTACTCCGTGTGGAAAACCTTCGCCTCCCGCACGCGGTTCTGCAGCACCTCCTGCACCACAGAACAGGTCGATGTTGGTGGTGAGGGAGAAGCGGTGCGCCCCGGTGAGGATGGCCACGCCCGTCCCGTACTCCGTGTGGAAAACCTTCGCCTCCCGCACGCGGTTCTGCAGCACCTCCTGCACCACAGAACAG